AATATAAACCTGTCTACTTCACCTTATCTAAACTTTGTTTACAACAGATTTTCTGCTGTTGGACGTATCTAACGTGTCAATTTATCTAGACATTAATTAATAATCCACCTACCTACACCCTCTGACCTTATGGTTCGTTTTCTCTTTTAGCATAGCTCTGTCTATTAATTGGTTAATCCAGACATGCCCACAAGTACTTTTTGAAAATTTTGAAATTATAGTTTTCCCTCCTCCTTTTTAACTTTCAAATGCGGTAATGATTTGTTTTCTAGTTTCCCAAATAAAGTATTTTCATCATAAGTTATCTATCATCGTCCGATGAAGGAAGGAACATTATAGTTCCGAAACATGAAATGTTTTTCTAGCGATGTAAAATATTGAAATAAAAGTATTATAATAATATTTTGCTCTACGCTGTACTGAGCACTTCATTTTTTTTAAAGTAAATGGTAAGAACTGTCGATTCTTAATCTGATTGTTCTTTCTTTTTATTTGGAAATTAAACGGTAAGAAGTTTAAGTCGATAGAGAACGTTACGTATTCCTTATTCATTAATCGAAGAGTGGGCGTTATTGGGTGAACTTTATAAAACCTCTCTCTTTAAAAGAAATTCAGGAAAATAAGTTTCTCTCGTCTAGTAACTGTTAACACTCTTTGTATTATAGCTCTGATTTTTCCTTCCTAAGCTTTTATTTAGTATTGAAATTCAAAATTTTGTTCCTGTCATTATTTTCTCTCCAAATTAAATAAATATGTCATTTTTAGTTATTACTGCGGTGAAAAATCTTCAAATGGTGTAGTTCTTATTTCGAATCGTTCGTTGTTTAAGAATTTGACCAGTATACTTGGTGAGTCACTATGTCCTGTCTCAAATCAGTATGAACCGTGGGTTTTAAATTCCTCTAAACTAGTTTCTTATATAATGGAAACGGTAAGAGTGCTACAGTTGTCTTTTTTTAACATTTCATTCCAAGCAAGGCAATAAAGCCACTAAGACTCAAGGTTTTTACTGAGTGTGAAAAACTACAAGAAAAAAAAACATGAAGGAGCAAGAACATTAAAAGAAGACAAATTAAGAAGACATAATATAACGGTTAACATTGCATTTGCATATTTGAAGATCAAATTTGAATGGGAAGCAAGAAGACAAATGCCGAAATTTAATGTATTTTTAAAGAAAGGATTGCATTTAAACAGTCAAGAATTTTTACCTTCAACAGTATTTGTTTCATTATTGTATTATCGCATGCAAATTAGATAGACAAGTATAAATAGAGAACAACCGACGGACATAGGGTGGCTATGCCTAGCAAACCCGGTTACTATTCAGGACACGGAGATCTGTACTACGACTACTACTACACAGAGATATGCAAAACATAACAATTATACTTTTTAAAACAGTTTAATTTCTCTTAGGAACTGAAATATGTAAAATCAATCACTATTTTGAAAAAGTTCTTTTAAGTTCGGTAGTAATTTTTCATGTGTACGGGTTGAATTAAAATTGCTCTAGTTTATCAGTAACTGTTTTATAGTGAATAGGACTAGGCATGCAACACATACCTGAGGATCTTCCATTTTTTTTAGGATATACGAATGGGGTATGGTAGCATATCCAGTATGACGGAAGAGTTCCACAAGCAAGAAGTGCGCAAAAAGAAAATATTAGCATAGAACTTACGGTTGCATCTAGCCACTAAACTGTAAAATGATGAGATATTGGCACCAGTCTACTACTGAGATTAAATTAATAGAGTCTAGATGTCATAGAAAATGTTCAGACAAATACCATGAATGTATTTATAGAAAAAGGTACAATGAAAAGACATTACAGCAGTGAGGTTGAAATTTCTAATGTTGTTTTTTTTTTCTTAAAATAATTTTTTCAAGAAAATATGTTTCTCAAGCCCAATATCTGTTATATCTCTTTCTTATACGGACGGGCGTTGCCTTCCTACCTTTTTGTTTAAGGTAGTGAGGAAATTCAACATCTTGATTGTATCATTATTTTCTCTTCGAGTTAACCAATTTAGTCGTTGTTATTGTTGAAAGTTAAGTGATATGGTATCAATTATTTGATGCAGTTCTTTGTTTGTCTCGAGAAATCATTGTGACCTTTCTTCCTTCAGCGCGTCCTGCGAGTGTTAAATACATCTTGACCATATTCCTCATAATGACATTTGTAATGGTAATGTTGCGCGTTTCCTTATCGATTCATTGAGAAACAATTTTCATGAAAATATTTTAATAAGAAAAAATATTTCAGTCAAAAGTAGCACTGCCTGATCGGTCAACTAAAGCCGAATATTTCCTTATGAGGCTACACCTAATATTACAATTACTTTTACAATGTATATATTAACCTTATCATTAGGGATTAAGAGAACATATGCTACATTTTGATACCATCCCGATAACCAGGAACTGAAGAAAAGTAGTGGCTGTTCGGTTAATGCATAGTTCCTCATGAGGAAACGGCTGATATCATCATTACCATTAGCGATCAAGTAATTGGTATCTGGAATCTATATAGGCATGTGTGGTTAGAATGTTCACTTTCTGACCATGAGACCTGGGTTCGAATCACACCATGGGCGATCTGTCAGGAATGAGACTTCCTGATGTAATTAGACTGGAGGTTGTCAATCGCAGTACGCGGCATCTTTGGAAAGTGTTCGAAAACCATACCACGGGTTGACTCAAGACTTTTGAGTGAAATTGGGAGGTTGTCTCATCGTGGCCAAGAGCTTGAGCGTGCTGGCCTTGTTCCATTTGTTGATCACGATAGATAACTCGCTATTTCCCAGAAACTGTAACTAAGATCTACTCAGCATAGCTGCAGTACGAACCACAGCGTCTGCAGACGGGTACCCTCGAATACAAGTGGCCAGATATATATATATATATATATATATATATATATATAGTTGAGAATATAGCTTGTGCCAAGTTGTATAAAAAAGAGTGGTTTAGAATTATTCATACAGCCGATTCCAATAATCATTTGAAGATTTTGGAGTCGGTCTGTATAGGATTTAGAAAACCTTCTCTCTGCCGGCAGAAAGAATTTATAAGGTCTCTAAATCTGTTGGGGATATTTTATTTTAACTGTCCTCGCTATTTATTTACACGATAACCCTTCCTCGTTACAAGTATATATACTTGTTTGTTATTTTAGTGTGTTTCCCCTCTTTTTGCTCTTCAATATCGCTATTATTCATTTCGCTAATCCAACGATTGTCTCCTGATGAGATGTTGGCTGAAAGGGCTCTAGAGACTTTTAATATTAAAATCAATGGTTTCCTAGTTTTTAAAACTATTTATATATATATATATATGTGGAATTTAATTTGTTCCATTTGGAAGATGGACAGAAACAATATTATATAGTGAATATTTACAATTAATTATTATTATTCATAGTATTAGTAGTCCAGATCGAACTAAATATGGAGTTAACTATATAGGAAAACGATTTTATTAGAAAGGAGAAATACGCTGTCTAATTCGTCTCTAGACAAAGGCTGGAGAAGTTTTCTTTTTTATTTAACTTCATTCTGATAAGTATTAAGGTAAGAGAGACACAAAAAGCTAATAAAATGAGTAAGATAGAAAATACAGTGAAAGAGAAGAAAGACACAGAGAGAGAGAGAGAGAGAGAGAGAGAGAGAGAGAAAAATGCAAGCAAACTATTAAAGAGAAAAAGAGGAAATGAGAAAGATAATTCGAGAGAAAGAGTGATAGCAAAAGGAGAAGGAAGGAAATGGGAGGAGAGTGTCGAGAGAATTGAAAGTGACGTTAAAAAAGATAATAACAACTAGAGAGAGAACTATAAATAAGAAAGAAAAAGAAAGAAAGAAAAAGAAAGAAAGAGAAAGAAAGAAAGAAAAAGAAAAAAAAGAGAAAGAAAGAAAGAAAGAGAAAGAAAAAAAGAAAGAAAGAAAGAAAAAAAAAAAGAAAGAAAAAAAAGAAAGAAAGAAAAAGAAAGAAAGAAAAAGAAAGAAAAAAAAAAGAAAGAAAAAAAGAAAGAAAGAAAAAAAAAGAAAGAAAAAAAAAAAAAGAAAAAAAAGAAAAAAGAAAAAAAAAGAAAAAAAAAAAGAAAGAAAGAAAAAGAAAGAAAGAAAGAAAGAAAAAAAAGAAAAAAAAAGAAAGAAAAGAAAGAAAGAAAGAAAAGAAAGAAAAGAAAGAAAGAAAGAAAAAAAGAAAGAAAAAAAAAAAAAAGAAAAAAAAAAAAAAAGAAAGAAAAAAAAGAAAGAAAAGAAAGAAAGAAAAGAAAGAAAAAGAAAGAAAGAAAGAAAGAAAAAGAGAAAAAGAAAGAAAGAAAAAGAAAGAAAGAGAGAAAGAAAGAAATCATAAAAATCAATTAAAGGAAGCGAAATAGATATTGAATGATAGCTTGGTTGGCATTGCACGGCTCATCCACCATTTGCAGATTATTTAAATCCAGAAAATAGTTTAAGACCGTCAGACTTAGGCCTTTTTTGTTTTGTTTTTGAGATAATAATGATTTAGTGATACAAGTCTTACTTTGAGCCGTGTGGGAGGCGCTTATGGCCAATTGTGTGGGATTATCCGTCGCGCAGAGTTGTCCACCAAAATAAATTTCACGTGAATGGCCTCGTCAAACTTTCTTTTGATTCACAGCCATCTCCACCCCCGACCGACACGAGAGGAGAGAACAGGGAACAGGGAGAGAGGATGACGATCCCGGTGCTCAGATGCGAGCAGGTACTGAACAAGAAAACAACGAGTCTTAGTAATTAATCCATAGGTAGGGGGGGAAGAGCTGGATTCATACCTTTCCGATAGGTATTTGCTCGTAAGTGAAAATAGCGAATCCAACTTGAATTGGAACTCGGCTCTCCGATTAATAATTCCAAGTTATTATCTATTACACCAGCTGCACATCCACGCTTAGAGCACCTGGTATTCCCAAGACGTCACTTGTGTCGGTGTTGATCTAGTTCGAAGTTGCTTAACTTCAGTGAACCGGTGTTTTAACGCGATGCGGCCGTAAGCCACCGCGAAATAGATATGCAAAGTAGGAAGTGAATGAGTGTGAAAAAGATGAACGAATGAAGGGAATGAGAAAAGGAGAAAAAAAAACCCTGAGAAGTGGAAAGACAGTGATAAGGGAACTGAAAGAGATATGAAGAATAGAAAAAAGAATGAGTAAGCGAAAGAGATAGAGACAGAAAAAGAGGAAGAACTACAGAAAAAAAAACAACAGAAAAGGTAAATAGAAAGAAAGAGTCAAGGGAAGTGAGAGAGAGCGAAAGAGAAAAATAGTCGAAGAAGAAGTGAGAAAAATAGAGAAAGCAAAATCGAGAACGAAAGGGGAAAAAAATCCGAATAATTATATTGGGTTGGTGCGTAATTATCAGGCGTTTTTGTAGGCGAGTTATAAGAATATCCATCTCCCTCACCAGAAAAGCCAGAAATGAGAAAAGCAGGAAAAAAAAGCCCTGAGAAGTGGAAAGACAGTGATAAAGGAACTGAAAGAGACATGAAGAATAGAAAAAAGAATGAGTAAGCGAAAGAATTAGAGACAGAAAAAGAGGAAGAACTACAGAAAAAAAAAACAACAGAAAAGGTAAATAGAAAGAAAGAGTCAAGGGAAGTGAGAGAGAGCGAAAGAGAAAAATAGTCGAAGAAGAAGTGAGAAAAATAGAGAAAGCAAAATCAAGAACGAAAGCGAAAAACAAAATCCGAATAATTATATTGGGTTGGTGCGTAATTATCAGGCGTTTTTGTAGGCGAGTTATAAGAATATGCATCTCCCTCACCAGAAAAGCCGGTGTAGTCAACGGTAACGAAACCACATAGCAGTTAGTACTGGGTTACAATGTAACACTAGCACTCGTAGAATGACATGATATAAGAAATATTATATAACAGCAGAATATATTTAACTGTTTCTTTTATGTTTTTTTTAATCTATCCATATACGAAAAATAGTACTTAATCATCATTAAAACTACTGTACTTGTACGCTGGCATGAGTTTCAAATAATACGGTGATGTAACGCGATAGACGATAGTTCAAGATATCAGTTTTCGTTTGATTTGTTTTGTCTTAAGGCATATCAACACCTCAATGGGTCATTTAATGCCGACAAGATTTTATTGCTGGTACTATTTTTTCCAAAAATGTATTGTTGGTAATCATTTTTTCCTTCAAAAGTATATTGCTAGTAATATTTTTTCTTCAATATTGGTTGGTGCATAATTATCAGGCGTTGTTGTAAGCGAGATATTTGTTAATAAAAATTGCTATTTTGTTTACTTTTTTTTAAATAAGAATATTATTTTATTTTTCGGCTTATAAAAATGTGTGTCGATAATCATACGCTCCGGAATAATCATTTAAAAATGTTATTGTGGCACCTTGCATTATTAGAAATATTCATAGAAATATGATTTAATTTTTCTTTTACTCGGTTTATTAAACAGGTTGTTAATGTTTCTTAAACGGAAAATAATTGAGTTGAAAATAATTCACTAAGTTGTACTTAGACGATCCTAAAAGAAAAAGAAGAGAAAGAAAGAGAAAAAGCAAAAGAGAGAGGTCGAGAAATACAAAAAGCGGTCATTAACAAAAACACGTATCAGAAAGGTAATTAGGCCAACATCTTGGCCGATTTTCGAAAGAACAATGGGATTTGTTATTTAGAAGGGAAAGTCATTTAGAGAGTGGAAGGGACAATGCTTGATAAGAGTGTATTGATAATAAAAAAATCGGTCGAAGCACATGACCGACTTTTGCGTAGAAAGACTCATTATCAATTCGGAGAAAGGGAAATTTTTTTTAGAACAATAGAAACGAAATTTTTTTTAATCAGAGAAAAAGTGTCTTTTGGGTTGAGGGGAGTGACCGGTGGAACTATATACAGATTCTGACCTATTAAGAATTGGAAACCCATGATAACAAAGTGGGGACATTTTCAATGTAGATAATTAAGATTTTCTGACTGTCGGGTCTGACAAAAACAAGAGGTGAAAAAACGATTGTCTCAGTTCACAGATAGCGCCAATATTCTTCCCTGAAGTCACATCTAATTAGCGGCGGGCTGTTTTGACAGAGCCCAGGTGAGAAAAAGCCAAGATTGTCATTTTTCGTACGTGCAAAAAAAAAAAAAAGGCAAAATTAGATTTTGTTTTTTTTTAAAACAAGAACGATGTAAACCACGCCCAACCACAATCTCATTAGCCGAAAGCGGTCACGTGATATGCGGAAAGAAGAGAAAGGATGCTCGATCAAGAACCATTGGTCGGAAACGGCCACGTGATCTGCGGAAAAGAAGAGAAAGAAGTGCTCGATCAGGAATCATTGGTCGAGAGCGGTCACCTGACATACGAGGGACCGGGAAAGATGGGTGTGCGCCTCCCTACCAAGGGCACTGTGAGGAAGTAGGGGTGAAAACAATAGCGATAATGAGAAGACAGAAATAATGCGACTTTTGGAATTATCGAGAAAACCCTGACGCCGACAGACCCACCCCAGTTTGTTGCGGCGTCAATAAAAGCAGGATCCAAGTCGACAGAAATCAGTTGGAGTGGAGTTGCAGCTGGACCGCGGGCAGGGATAGAGCCTGAACGCGGGCATCGGGCCCGATTCACTTGCCCCTTTGCGGGCAAGAGAATCCTCAGACAAGAAATCCTTCCAGCCCAAATCGAAGAAGAAGAAGATTGCTCGCAAGCCTCAGAGAAGTTGCAGCCAAGTCGAAGAAGAAGAAGATTGCTCGAAAGCCGCAGAGAAGTTACAGCCAAGTCGAAGATAAGAAGAAGAGCTGCAGGCCAGACAGGCCGAAGAATTGCAGGCAGACAAGAAGAAGAATTGCAGGCCAGACAGGCAGCAAGAGTTGTGGCAGAGTTACGGCAGAGTTCAGCCCCGGACGGCAGCGAGAAGAGATCACCTCGGACGACAGAGAGTTGCGGCAAGAAATCCTTCCAGCCCAAGTCGAAGACAAGAGAACTTCCAGCCCAAGCAGACGAAGAAGAAGATTACTCGAAAGCCGCAGAGAAGTTGCAGCCAAGTCGAAGACAAGAGAAGTTGCAGCCAAGTCGAAGACAAGAGAAGTTCTATCTTAGTCGACGAAGAAGAAGAAATACAACTCAAGTCGAAGAGAAGAATCAACTGCGAATGATCGATAGAAATTAGCCCCAGTGTCGAACTAAACCACACTCCGACATACACAATTCTAAAGAGTAGGCAATTCGAAATCTTTAGGTTGTGTGATAGAAGCTTAGTGCCATAGTCCACAGAGCGGGTCGGGAATTGAGAACAATTTTTCTTTATGTAACGGACATTAGATATAAAAGGTTGTCACCCTTTTTATCAGTAATTTTTGTCTCGTGAGTTTTTTTTCCTTTTACTTGTGTTTTGCCACCCCCGTCGGACTCAACTTGTATCGGCCCCAATCCCTGCTGGTCCGTCTGTCTAAGATCTAAACACAACGTGGGTAGACAGACCGGAGATCAGTACAGTTGCTTCAGTAACCAGGTATTGGAAGCGAGTTGGGAAAGGCGAGGTTGGTGATCATCCAACCAAGGGGTTGGAGCGGCACGCTTGGAACCAGGAGGAGCGACCAGGAGGAGCGACGTCACAGTTGGCGCCGTAACCAAGGGATTCGACCCTGGGCCAGGTGTGTAACCGTCACATTATTGTTGATTGAGTAAATCATATTTTCGGTACAGAACGATGCCAAATATTGCCGAGCAAATACAGTCGCCCGCCAACAGCTGAAACAGCCATTTTTGTCTATCGTCACTGACAACGACGCGTCAGCATTAATAATAGCTTCTTAGATTAACTAACGAGAAGGAAGCACTTTTTACACAAATAAAATATATTAATACAGGACTACATATAGCTTTCTGAATTCAGAGTTACTTTCTCCTAGATAGGTTGCCATCCAACGATATAGATCTCAGTCTGTCCTGCCATTTACTCCTAGCTTGGGGGTTACGAAGAGGATTCATACCTTTCCTAAGGGTATTAGCACGTAAGTGAATTTAATGGAATTGACTGGAATTCGAACTCGGATCTCTGATTCTTTTATCAGAGCCGCAATCCATTATTCCAATATGCTCTCTGAGACCATTATAAATATTGGGGTGGTGCATTATTATCAGGCGTTTTGTAGGCGAGTTGTAATTTTATTTTCAGCTTATAAAAGTGCGTGTCGGTAATCATTCGCTCCGGAATAATCATTTAAAAATGTTATTGTTGAACTGTTATGTTTCTTTATTTCATAATAAATATTGTTTAAAAACGCCTGATAATTATGCACCAAGCCAATAGTTTATTTGTTTGTTTAACGGTATAGCAATTCCTTATGAATCATTTATTACCAACATTTAATTTTCCTCGGAACATTGTCGTAATAAAAATATATGTTATTCTACATTCACAATTGAATACATGGTAATTGATACTCAGATTTAATGAATATACATGTTTGTGTCGACAATTACATGAGACGGTGATATAAGTGTGTTTTATGTTATATTTTTGTTGAATTATATTTTCATGTAAGATATTGTAAGATATAGGAATTAATGTCATGAAAGATTTCTTTCATGTTGGTTGTTTGATTGTTTTTTTTTTGCAACATCTCAATGTCTGCAGGTTATTTAATGTCGTCATCTAAATATTGGCTTGGTGCATAATTATCAGGTGTTAATAAAAAAAATCATAACAAATCAACAATAACATTTTTAAATAATTATTCCGGAACGTATGGTTATCGACACGAATTTTTATAGCCTGGAAATAAATTAATATTTTTATTAAAAAAGTAAACAAAACAGTAATTTTTATTAACAAACTAGAAGTAGAGCCCGGCATTGCCCGGGGATGTAACAGTAAGTGATAGATCAAGTATCGACCATCATAAAGACTGAAAAATAAAATTGACAAAGATTATTGTTTAAGGTTGACGGACACGGATGTCTTAATTAGTTTTCTTTTTACGAATTGGTCAAACCCAAACTCAAACAAAAACATTGTTTTCAATCGTTATGAGTCTATCGATTGAATAGAATTTTATTATAAACAATTGTCTTGGAAATGGAAATTTTAAAGCATTCTGAATGTAAAAATAAAGAAAAAAGTGTGCAAGACAATAAGAAACACTACCTGCCAAAAAAGGTTTTGTTGAAATCGGTTGAAAAATGTAAGAAATCCGATCCCATATATAAACGTACACACACAAACAACCTGGGTATTATAGTGTAACTCGATATGAGTTGTCCCCCTTTCATTCTGGCGACAGAATTGTGTTTTATCGTGTTTCAAATTGATTTCGTGCAAAAACAATTGTGTTTTTCCCATTTTTGGCGCTGTCAAAACCACCGCAAGGTAATTTTACGTAGTCCTTTAAAGTTTTGTTGAAATCGGTTGAAAAATGTAGGAAATCCGATCCAATATATAAACGTATAGACACACACACACACAATCTGCGTTTTATAAGTAAGATAACACGCCTAGAAAAACGCCTGATAATTACGCACCAACACAATAATTTGAACGCATCTGAATACCTTCAACTACAGATAAAATGTATTACTGGCAATTTTACTAGAAATAGGTATCGTTAGTAATATTTTACATAAGAATGTATTGCTGGTATTCTTATTATAAAATATATATTTTTATATTTTCATATAGTTTTGCTTGGAGGTACACTATTTGCCCATAGCTGGGACCATAACGTCTGCTCTCACCCGTCAAAGTCTCCACTCTCCCGATGAGAGGCCTTGCTGGCGGAAGTAG